CAGCCGGGCCTGACCTCCCACCCAGCGTCAGGCCGCAGCGGGCAGTGCCCTCGGGACCAGGGCACTCGAGTCTTGCACGTTTAGCAGACTTCCGAGGGGGCGGGGGCGGGGGCAGGGCCGCTACTTCTGCTCTGTGTGAAGCACTTGGTACCATCTGGCTGGCTGGGTTTCACCCAAGATAGTAAAGAAACATTTATCGGGAAGAATCAGTCGGGCTGCCCGCGTGTGGCCTGGAGAGAGGCTTCCTTGAAACGTTGGCAGCGCTCTTGCTGCTGGGAAACGCGACTCGACTTCGAAGAGCGAGCGTTGGGAGGGTCAGGCCCTGGGTCTGCTGCGAGCGGTTCGTGGAGCAGCACTGAGAGCAGCCGCGGCTCTTGGAGATGTGAGCGCCCAGACCCGCACAGTTCCGCCCCATCCCTTTCACAGAAACCGTGGGCCCTGGCAGAGGGCAGACCCAGAAAGCACAGGCGCGGGAGGGGCAGAGCCCTGCCTGCCGCTGTGAGACCGCCCAGGCCTGCAGCGCAGAGCCGGGGGAGCTGGACGTCCCCTGTGACTGTCCCCGTGTCAACCCCGCACGCGGCGGGGGCGCAGCGAGCCGTCCCCACTGGCCCCTCGGCGCGTCCCCGGCCGCCTTGTACGTGGCTGCCCGTGTGACAGACGTGTCCTCCCGCAACCCCAGCCCGGAAGCTGGCGCGGGCAGTGCCCTCGGAAGGCTCAGGCAGCGAGCGCGTTTTCTGCGGCAGCGATTTTCAACCTCTTCATCTCACGGCACAGAAACTACTTACTGAAATTCTGCGGCCACCAAAAAATACATTAAATATTTTTTGCTGACCTGACAAAAATAAATAGGTATGATTTTGATTTTGATTCGCACCGGATGGCTATTGTTGTGTAGGCTGCTGTCATTTTTTGATTTGACAACCTAAGGGAAAAGAGGCCAGTGCCCCTGACCGAATAGTCGGGTATTGCAGGTTTTAAAGATTCTGCCGGAGCCCTGGTTGAAAATCACTGCTCCCTGGGGAAGATGTATGGATAGCCTAAGAAATTACATCATGTCTAAAACTCTACTTGACGTGAGCTCTGTGCATGAGCACCACCTGGGAACTTGTTAGAAAAGCAGGTGAACAGGTCACTGGACTTGTTGAATTGGAATCTGTCTAAGGTGGGACCTGGGACTAACCTGGCCCCCTGTGAGTGACCCCGGAGTGAGTCTGAGGCGGGACCTGGGACTAACCTGGCCCCCTGTGAGTGACCCCGGAGTGAGTCTGAGGCGGGTCCTGGCACTAACCTGGCCCCCCTGTGACTCCCCTGAGTGAGTCTGAGGCGGGTCCTGGGACTAACCTGGCCCCCTGTGAGTGACCCCGGAGTGAGTCTGAGGCGGGTCCTGGGACTAACCTGGCCGCCCCGTGAGTGANGACTAACCTGGCCGCCCTGTGACTGACCCCGGAGTGAGTCTGAGGCGGGTCCTGGGACTAACCTGGCCCCCTGTGAGTGACCCCTGAGTGAGTCTGAGGCGGGTCCTGGGACTAACCTGGCCCCCTGTGAGTGACCCCTGAGTGAGTCTGAGGCGGGTCCTGGGACTAACCTGGCCCCCTGTGAGTGACCCCTGAGTGAGTCTGAGGCGGGTCCTGGGACTAACCTGGCCCCCTGTGAGTGACCCCTGAGTGAGTCTGAGGCGGGTCCTGGGACTAACCTGGCCCCCTGTGAGTGACCCCTGAGTGAGTCTGAGGCGGGTCCTGGGACTAACCTGGCCCCCTGTGAGTGACCCCTGAGTGAGTCTGAGGCGGGTCCTGGGACTAACCTGGCCCCCTGTGAGTGACCCCTGAGTGAGTCTGAGGCGGGTCCTGGGACTAACCTGGCCCCCTGTGAGTGACCCCTGAGTGAGTCTGAGGCGGGTCCTGGGACTAACCTGGCCCCCTGTGAGTGACCCCTGAGTGAGTCTGAGGCGGGTCCTGGGACTAACCTGGCCCCCTGTGAGTGACCCCTGAGTGAGTCTGAGGCGGGTCCTGGGACTAACCTGGCCCCCTGTGAGTGACCCCTGAGTGAGTCTGAGGCGGGTCCTGGGACTAACCTGGCCCCCTGTGAGTGACCCCTGAGTGAGTCTGAGGCGGGTCCTGGGACTAACCTGGCCCCCTGTGAGTGACCCCTGAGTGAGTCTGAGGCGGGTCCTGGGACTAACCTGGCCCCCTGTGAGTGACCCCTGAGTGAGTCTGAGGCGGGTCCTGGGACTAACCTGGCCCCCTGTGAGTGACCCCGGAGTGAGTCTGAGGCGGGTCCTGGGACTAACCTGGCCGCCCCGTGAGTGACTCCACTGCGGGGGCTTGAAAGGCTCTCCTGCAGGGGTTCAAATGCAAAGGTCAGATGCACTGTTCTCAGGAAGAGAAACCACAAGAGGTTCTGTCTGATGTCATTCCATTCAGAAATGGTTAAATCTTCATAATAAAAATGGACAAATGGAGTAAAAGAGGGTGGTGAGTAATAATAGTAATAATAGTGAAATAGCAGTAATGTAGCTAGCACTTAGTGACTATTCCCTAGGTCCCAGGTTCCATGCCAAACATGTATATTCTTTATCCGACTGCACTCTTCTAGCGGTCCTGTGAGGTATGCATTACCTCCATTTTATCGGTCAAGAAATGGAGTTAAAAATGTGAAGGAATGATAGGCAATTGCAGACCCGGTGTTTCGCAGCCCTGTGTCCACAACACTGTCAGCCTGGCTACTGTGTCATTAGAAATCAACTGTGTGTTGCATACATTTGGTTTTACGTCTTCCTTGGAGACAGGGCCAACATCTCACGTTGTCCCCTTTGTCCCCAGTGCCTAGCAGAATGCCTACACATAGTAGGGACCTGCTTTTGGAACTTAACTGAGTGAAAGGAAACATGATTGCTTCTGGTGCAAGGACAAGATGCAGCCTGCAAGCTGGACCGGAGCAGGAAGTCAGCCTGTGGGTAAAGGAAGGAGGTGCCACTGCCCCGGAGTGCAGAAGATGCCAGTGCCGAGCGTTACAGCCTGCTCCTCCGGCCCTGGCCACTCACTGGACGGCCGCCCAGCCCTTTCTCATCTCATTTATTCAGTCCCAACCCCTTAGTAGCAATATGATCGGAGGCAAGTCAAGTGATTTTCCCCCCTCCAGCAATAATCAGCTATTTGGATGTATGAAAAAAAAGGTAGGGTATTTGAATTTAAATAGGGCTGTGGTTTTGTCAGATAAATAAAATGGGAAGAAAGATTAGCAAGGGCATTGAGGGTATTTTCAAGGGAGTGATTACGATGCACCGTGAAATCTCACCTGGGACGAATGAGGGAGGGCTAGAGGAAATGAGAGACTGAGAACACTCATGGGCTCAGTAGGCTGATCGGCAGTGACTTACTGCTGTGGGGTACTAGGGTTCGTGAACTGGAACACTGGGAAGCGGTGTAAGATCCCGGGGTACATGAAATTGAATTGAGAAAGTGGTGTCATTTCTGGGATGACAAGCTCCAGGTAGGAGGTGGCTGAGGAGGTGGAAACGATGCAGGAAGTAAGGGGGTGCTTTATCCCCTACTATGCGATGTTCTGCTTCTATTGTTTTATTCCACTTGGGGATCAGTTAGAAACAATGTTGAGTAATGACAGTGGGATTGCATGATCAGGAACTGGGGTGCGGTTATGTTAGATGGCCTTTATCCTGCGAGTGAAATTGGCCATTTCTAGCTAATTGCAACGATCTTGTGGTTTTCTCCTTTGACTTAGAAATAGGATGACTATTTCAATAATAGGATTTCTAAGGTTGAACCATCTTTGTATTCTTGCTAGGGGTCATTGTATATCAGCCTTCTGGCAGGTAGTTTGATTCCATCTGCTAATGTATTCCTTTGGGTTTTTCTTTCATAAGTGAGATGGTTGGCACGGTATCCTTAACACCCGTACAACTCACAAGAGCTACACGACTTCCATTTTCTCATCTCCTTCCCTCGGCTACTTGTGTTACTGGTTTTTGAATTGACTCCTAATTAACTTCTTTCTGTTTCTCCAGCCTGATGTCTGTTCCACCGTAATATGGCCACATCCGCACTGCTCTCCTCGGCTGCCTTCCTTCTCTAAGCTGGTCTTGTAGCCTTCTTTGCACGGCGTTCTTGATAGAGGGTGGAGTCAGTATTTTTCCAGCCTTCTCTCTATGGGCTGTTTGGGTACTGAGTATGGGTGCTACGTGGGTGATGGCTGTGCCTTGGTTCAAAGGACAGCGCTTTCTTTTTTAGCTCACTCTTTCTGAATTGAGGTAGAATTCACATCACATAAAAAGTGGCCTTTCGTGCACTCACAGTGTGCACACAGCCACCGTCCCCGTCCAGATCCAAGAAAACTATCGCCTGTAAAGGAAACTACATACCCATTAAGTAGTCACTCGCCATCCCCCTGCCCCCACACCTGGCAACTGCTAGTCTGCTTTCCGTTTATGAGATTTACCTGTTCTGGATGTTTCCTATCAGTGGAATCATACAGCTCGTGACCTCTTGTGTCAGGCTACACAGGTGTTCATAGCAGCACTATTCACAACAGCCAAAAAGTGGACACAACCCAGATGCTGATCGGCTGATGGGCGGGTAAACAAAATTGGTATATCCGTGCAGTGGAATGTTAGTCGGCTGTAAGAGAAGCACCCGCACACGTGCTATGACGTGGAGGAACCTTGAGAACATTGTGCTGAATGGAAGGAGTGTGTCTTCCTTTCGCCTTCGCGGGAAACAGGCTTAGAGGACGCACGGTTGATCTTGGGGGTGGAGTGGGGCGAGCGTGAAGAGAGTCAGCAGTCAATTTTAAACCAATATAGAGCAGGGCCCACATCTTGTCAGTTTGTCTCACTTTGAATGCTTCCTAGCTATTGATGTTAATACAATAATGTTCCCATTAAGTGAGTGTGAAGCCAAGAGCCCTTCCCCAGGCTCTGTAGCCAATTCGGGTGGCGCTCAGACGCTCTGGGTGCTATAATACTGAAGCTGTTTCTCTTTTTCCAGTAAGAGATGCTAAAAACCTGGTACCCATGGACCCCAATGGCCTGTCAGATCCCTATGTGAAACTGAAACTCATTCCTGACCCCAAAAGTGAGAGCAAACAGAAGACCAAAACTATCAAGTGCTCCCTCAACCCCGAGTGGAACGAGACATTCAGATTGTAAGTGGAAATTATTGTAGCCCAGCATGAGGGTGGCCCACTGAGACGGGGCTCCTCTCTAGCTCTGTTTCCTTCCCTCCCCCCTTCCCT